CCATTCCTGCCCAGCCTCCATCTCCACCTCCTCCTAGCCCGCTGCCGCCAAGCCCACCGCCGCCTAGCCCGCCGCCGCCAAGCCCACCTCCTCCTAGCCCGCCGCCGCCTTTCCCCCTTCGCGCCCAGCCCCCATCGCCACGACCGCCCAGCCCGCCGCCGCCTAGCCCACTGCCTCCCAGCCCGCCGCCGCCTAGCCCACCGCCTCCTAGCCCGCTGCCGCCAAGCCCACCGCCTCCTAGCCCGCCGCCGCCTTCCCCCATTCGTGCCCAGCCTCCATCTTCACGACCGCCCAGCCCGCTGCCGCCAAGTCCACCGCCTCCCAGCCCGCTGCCTCCCAGCCCACTGCCGCCTAGCCCGCCGCCGCCTTCCCCCATTCGTGCCCAGCCTCCATCTCCACGACCGCCCAGCCCGCTGCCGCCAAGCCCACCGCCTCCTAGCCCACTGCCGCCAAGCCCACCGCCTCCTAGCCCACAGCCGCTTTCCTCCCTTCGCGCCCAGTCTCCATCTCCACGACCGCCCAGCCCTCCACCGCCCAGTCCACCTCCTCCCAGTCCACCTCCGCCCAGCCCTCCACCGCCCGCCCCGGAGCCTCCTGAGTTGCCATTGCCACCAGGTGCATGGATGACTCCGCCAAACCTTCCGGAGACCCCAACACCTCCGAACGAGCCCTCCACGCCGCCGTTGCCAGCTGCTGGTAAGCCACCGCGATTCCGACCGCCCACTCCTCCTCCGTCGCCAGCCAAGCCTCCGCGGCCTCGCAGCCCACCTCCGCCGCGGCCAGTCGAGACCGGCAAGTCGCCTGCCGGTAGCGATGCTGCTATGCCAGGCAAAGCTCCGCTGCCGTCACCGCCACGGCGGTCGCCGCCTCTGTCGCCGCCACCGCCGCGGCGATCCCCGCCGCCTTCACCGTCGCCACCGCCGCTGCCGCGGCCGCCGGTGCCGTCACCTCCGCCGGTGCCTTTGCAGCCGCCGCAAGTGCCGTACTACCCTAAGCGCCCTCCGCGGGCTCCGAAGTGGCAGTTCAACCCCCCCATAACCAATAAGTGAAGACTGACTTTGAACGGCAGCCCCCACTGCACATTTCCGAAATGGGGAAGGCCCTATGATGAGGGGCTATGATGATTTATGGCTGTGTAAGATCATTTGCATCGCATCAGCGGTTCAGCGTCTGCGGGGTCTGCCTTTGTAGGGGCGGGGCGGCAATAGCGGCGATGGCGGCCGTGGACGTGTATTTGCGTCTATCACACATGGCCGTGCCGCTGCGCGTCGCCCTGTTGGAACGGTATAGCGGGGTCGGCTGGACGGGAATAGACTGCAGAGCTCTCTATTCACGGCTAGAGTTTTCGCAGTTCAGTGTCTTAGGTTGACGCGCCTTCTAACAATCCCTTGACAGCAGAGCGCGTTTCCCGTCGGCTTGCAAGCGTTTCGCAAGCTTTTTCGTTTTTGTTTTTTTTCAGTGGCGGCGGTGGCAGCATTGCTTGTTGCGTTTGTGGTGGTGTTAGTAGTGGGTTGTGTCAATATTGTGTGGCATCAGCTTATTGATGTGGTGATGGTGGTGGTGATGGTGGTGATGGTGGTGGTGGTAAGGTGGTGGTGAGGACTTAATGCGCATTTACGGACGTGCCCAGACATGCTCCTGGGCACTCGCAGCACGAAAAGCTGGCGGCAGGTACTTTTGGTGGCAGATACATCGCCGAGTGCCCCATACGGTCAAATCGCCGCTGCAGAACGAATGGCGTCCGCTCACTCTGATGGATGGTTCGGCCTTGCACCGGGGCAAGGGCCCAGCTCGAAGTGATGAAAGGTAATTTTCCATGTCACCCCCTCCTGCCGACCCGCCCAGATCTCGAGCCCCGGCCCAGGGCACGTCAGTCCCAGACAGCTCGCGGGGCCATTGCCAGGTTAGGCTCCTTTTGCTTTTGCACGCGTACGCGCGCAGTGCAAATGCGGGCTTTTGGGGTACGACGGGTTAGCGCAGGAGGGCAGGTAAGGTCCTTGGAAGAGAGAAGATTATCAATCCGCCTTTGACGAACGGCCGTTGTATGTGGCCACATGGCGAGCATGCTGTGATTTGCGCATTGCGTGGGTATGGATATGGATATGTTTGTATGTATATGTGTACGTGTGTGAGATTGTGTGTGAAACGGGTGTTATTCACTGTTATAAGCTTTTTGGCAGGCAAAGGCGAAAACGTGCTATGTGCGGAACAATGGTGTTTTGCCAATGAGAAGTAGCGGCCATGCTGCTTTTGGATTGCTATTCGTCTCCCAAAGTTGAGGCGAGTCGTCGTTGTTTCAAGACTGCTCGACCGCAATTCATTTTATGTCGCGGGCAGGCGTTCGCAGCTTCTAAATACCTGGGAAGGAGGAGGAACTAGAGCGAGGATTAATACTGGAGGTACACGTCAGATTTCGATTGGGGACCTGGCTGCATTTCAGAGAGCCGCAGCCGTCGCTGTGGTGTGGTGCGGGTTAGAACACGCTAGTGTGAGATCTAGTTGAGAGGGTAGCCAAATATAGTGAGCCCATTTATATGTCTCGACAAAACTCATGCGGTGATCGGAACTAAAGTGTTTTATGCTTAGGGAGGTGTTCCCATGCTCATAATGGATAGTAATAGATGGAGAGGGGGTGGAGTAGAAAGAGAGAATGTCTTAGGATCTATTGCGGGGAAAGCCATTCCTTAGCTGGCTTCGGCTGGATCTCGCCGTTCTGAACTGTACACAGCATGGAAAGCAGGATAAGGCCTGCGCGCGTGCACAAGGGTAGCCGAGCGCAGGGCGAGTGAGGGAGAGGGATGAGAGCGGAGGAGGCGTACGGGCGCAAGCGCGCGGGGCTGGGTCTTGGCCTGGTAGAAGAGCGCGCGCACACACAGGCCACTGTCAGCAAGGCTACCTCACCCTTCAAATAGTCTGCTGGTAGGCGCTCAAGTGCTCTTGCGCAATAACGGTGCGCATTATGAGGGCGATTTGCCATATGAAGCGAAATGTGGTATTTGCACTGCTGATAGTGCATGAGTATGACATGGTAGGGATCGTGTATGCTTTTTTGAGCCTCTCCTACCGCGGTCTGTGGTGTTGCGGTGTAGGGAGAGTGGCATGTAGCCCTGCAGGGGAGCACACCGGCCGCGGCTGCTGCTGCAAAGGGGGCGACCGAAGGGTTCTCCATCCCCTTCAGTTCCCATCCCCTTTGTTCGCAATGCGTTTCTGAGGCGCCGCTGTGTTCCTGTTGTAAGTGTGTGAGTGCTGTATAAGGCTTGCTTTCATGGCCTTTGACTCTCTGGCCCTGTGGTAAGTGGCATGGTTTGCTGTGCCGCCGTCCAGCTTTTCCGAATTTAAATACGGATTTTAGAATTCTAGCATTGGCCACCGCTTTGCCGGGACGCAGTAAGCTTTTTGCTTGCTTGCCTTGCCGCGGAGGTACGGAATCATGCGTGGTGGTGATGTGCATGCATCGTGTATGGCATTGCACAGCTACGTGTGACACCGCATGATCCAGTAGGCCCCCGGAATCGCGAGGGGTTCGGGATAGAAGGCTTATACACTGCGCCACCAAAGCCGGCGGCGTCCACGGCGTGTCCATTCTTATTGTGTGTGTTTGTGTGAGAGAGTGCACGTCGTGTGTAAGTGGTTTCTGTTGAAGTACGCTGCTGTGTCACCGCTTGGATTCATTCATTCAGCGTTTTCATGGTTGTCTTCAGGCACGGCGGTTGAAGATCGTGCGCTATGTATGGCTTGCTCTCCAGAAGCATCCACGCACGCACGCACGTGCATCGGTGTGGTCCAACACGTCGAGCACGTGTGCATGTGTGTCCGTGCGTATTATATGTCCGGACTTCTCTCTAATTCACTCCGGATGGGGAAGGTCGTCACCACGAAGGAATTATAGGATAGGCAGCTTTGTGTGATATGATTTGTCTATCTGTCTACCTACCTACCTACCTATCTATCTGTCATTTATCTAGCACCTATGAACTGTACGGCGAACGTACCTAACAAGCATGGCATCAGCTAATGGCAAATCTGGCGGTAGACTTTCTCTTCCCAGCTACGAGCCTAAACATCTACTACCTGCACCCATACACATTCAGTTTTTTCTAGGGACACGCGCGCTTACAATACACTTTCCGTTTTCGCGCCCGGGGTTGATGCGAAACCCATGATTACTCCGCAAAGCGCAAATAATATCATTTCCTGCGCTTACCGCCTGCCCAACAACAATCTTTTTATATCTCGCTGCCCGGCTCATGCGGAGTCGGTGCGCAGTGTGCTTTTTGGGGTAAGCCACGCATGCGGGGGGGTTACACAGGTTCTGCTTTGTGCATGCCCGAGATGAACGTGATGGTTGTAGTGGTTGTGGTCGGCCCAACCGCAGGGCCTGCTAGCACGCCCCGGGTGCCTTCTTCACTCGCTCGTAATAGATGCCTATTTTTGACATACGCTGGAGCTTATTGCAGATTTTTTTTCTATCCTTTCTTCCTGAGCTTACAACGGCGAAGATGTCATATGTTGATGCTTTATGTTTCGTTGTGATGCGGCAAGTGTTACGGCGCCAGTGTTACAGGTGGTTGGTTGGTCATGATTGGTTGGAAAATGGACAGCGAGAGATCGTGCGTGTATCACATTCATGAGGGGGAATTGAGTTCTTCCCATCTTTTTCTAAGTGGGCTGCAGCTGCAGCTGCAGTAGCAGCAGCAGCTGCTGTTGCTGTTTCTGCTGCTGCTGCTGGAGCCCAGACGTCTCAAAGTAGGTTGAAGAGGTTAATCATGTAGGTATTTAGGACAATTGTATTTTGAGGTTCTAGCAACTTGACGTGTTAGCTTCATGAATGCACGCCGAACGCCATCGCGTGCATCACGTGGTTGGATGACTGGATATGCACCCTCGGTTGGTTTGCGCTCTGACCTTTGACATTAGGTCATGTTCATCTATCGATGGTCAGATTTAAAGTCAAGGTCATGTTAGCACATGCCAGATCTCGGAGGGTGCAGGCTGCGTGCGCTTGTACAGGATCCAGATTACTGGATGCCATTGTTGTACAAATTCGTACGGTGTTGACAGAGTAGTTCAAGTGGTATGACATGAAGAAACTGGTATATCCCTAAAACAGCACAAGCCCTCTGTGTGTGTGCATGTATGTCTATGTGTGTGCGTGTCTGTGTGCGAAAGAAATAAAAGGGATCTCTCTTTGGATGTTCGTTAGCGCCACTCTACAACCGGCGGAAGCTTAGGGTGCGCCGATAGCACCATGAAGGCGTGTGTGGAATCGGCAGGCTGTATGGCGGCATTTGAACGGGGAATCGTATGTCTGTCCGGTGATATGTCTGTCTAACTTCGCATGTGTGTACATATGCATGTTTGCGTGCATAGTATGCATGTGCTAATGCAACTGTTTTGTGTGCATGTGCTTGTGCGTTGTTCCTGTCATAGATCCAGACTATAGATTCATGCCTTGTGTTGAGATTCAATCTCACACTTGAGCATGCATGCATAGGTGCGGGCTCGTTTAGATAGACAGACAGACAAACAATTATTTAATCAGGCCACCGAACGTTCCACACTGGAAGACATGTTCACAATATCCCCGACTCTTGTCCCCCACCGATGCACCAGCCGCAGCTGCACCGCCGCTGAGGCATCGGCTCCTCGAGGCAGTGCACCAAGACCAACCTTAACCTAGGCATCCATACCTCCTTTTTCCAGCACCGCATTCACAGCACCCACAAAAATTCCACACAGTCCGCCCAGAATATAGTCCTTACGAATCTCAACGGTGCCGTGTGCGTGTGTGTGTGTGTGTGTGTGTGTTACATGGTTGGGGGTGCGTGACCCCATACCTGTAAAACTACCCATACGAGCCGAAGGCCCAAGGGCAATATCTAAACGCCTAAAAGCCACGGAGAACAGGAAACACCGCACTACCAGCCCAGGCTAGCGCCCAAAGGGGATAACTGATAAAGTTGCGGTGAGCCCAAATACGCGTTCCAACATCCTCACCAGACATACTGGCTCCCATTTCATGGCCTCCAGCATGCTCTGTTGATGATCTGTTGCCGTGTGTGCTGACCACTGTGACACAGTCAGAGGGAATTTCGCTATTATGTTTTTCCACAAGTGCACATATTGCTGCATGTTTGTTTCCGTTACACATCGATCCATGCCTGACGCTGGCCAGGGGCACCTAACCGTACTCCCAACGGGAACGACCGCCGAAGCACACTCCCCCTAGCTGGATGAGAGGGGCATGTTTGTGCATCGTGTCGGTCAACATTTTATAAAAACCGAAACGCAGCACTGGTGTCGATATGCGTGCGCATGCTACATTTAATCCGCTTTCACGTTCACGCTTGCACACAAAACAATAGGGGCAGCTCGCTGGTACCGTACATAGGTACATATTTAAGATGAATGCCGGAGCTGCCGTCATATTTATAGATGCACCTGGGTGTACATAGAAGGTGGCAGCGCTTTAACCCTCGACGCGCATTGGGGGGCTTGCAGGTACGGGGCACAGACCCCACGACCATGTAACACACGCACATACATAGAAGGTAGCAATAGCGACGTTGATGGCGATGTGGCACGAGCTTGCACAGCATGTGCAAAAGGCAGATGGGCAGAGAGCTTTCTTCTTGATGGTGCTGTAGGCAGGCAGGCAGGCAGGCAGGAGTCAGACGACTCCGAAGGGCGACGTTTCTCCGCCAGCGCCCTCCTCGCCCTGGTATGCACATGTAAATACACGCCACGCATGCCCCGGCTGAGCCCCTTTCTTTGGTAAACCAGATGAGAAACTCCACTCGCGGGGCCTGCGCCGCCTGCTGCCTGCTGCGGTTACCTAGCCATAGCTTCAACACGATTGTCACAATCTGTAGCTCATAAGGAACACAAACTTGCGGTGCGCCATTACTACGGCCTGAAAGTCAGCGAGCTCAGATGCCAGTACTGCTGGTACTATTGGTGGATTCGCACACGGCTCATGCATGCATCGTGGCAAACTTAAGCTCTTGATAGATGATATGGCTTCGTATGGCTTCGCGGTTCGTATGGCTTCGCATCGGACTTAGCTGCCCTCAGTTGCAGCAGGTAGGCTTTCAATTCACAATGTGAAATGCAACCAGTTCCGCGCATTTTTATGCAGATGTGCATCTCACCTTTCGGCGTATAATAAGCGAATACAGGCGAAAGGCTTTGGGGACGTCGCGGTCTTGCGGCTTACGCCTCAATGGCACGCAGCCCACGCGAAGGCGACCGGCATGCAAGCGCAAGGGCCTTATATGCACGGAGCATTTTGCTACAGTACAACGCAGTTTGACGAGCTTGAGTGGCAACACGGCAGGTGGACTAATAACAGGGTGGGCGCAAGTCGCACATTCGCAATTTACTGATCGATCAATTGATTTGTAAATTTCTTTGCGGCATTCCCAAACGCGACCGCGGCCTGGATACGGTTCTTGATGCTTTCTGGAGCCCACCCACCCGCCCGCACATCTAGGGGGCGTTTTTTGGCGGCATTGAGAGAAAATAATATAAGTAATACATCTATTTTCTATGTTTCGTATCTGTTCGGCGGCGCAGCTTCTCTGCGCTGAATGGAGCAGGGCTAAAGGAGACTTAACCGACTCGGTTGGATGGAGCCTTTTCGCCGAACTCGATTCGCAGATTCAAAGGACTTGGCCGACTCCACGAGAATCACTTCTTATAACATAACATCTTATGCTGGAAGAAACTATGACGAAAAATCGAATTTGCCCAAAGGCTCCCGTGGGGCAGTACAGCAAAAACTGCTCATCCAATAATTAAGTTAACAACAAATCAATGTGATAAGCACATAAGAAGAAATATTGCACCGCCTCCTTCTGGACCTTTATGGTTTTTGGTCGGCGTGGCATTCCAGCACCCGACTGTACCGGTAATGAAGGGATGACAAGACATGCCGTAAGCACCAAGGCGCCCGCTGCCAGGTAGATGGCAAGGTGAAATCCGTGGTAGCGTATGCCAGTAGTCGGCACGGCGCACAGCATCATGGACCTTTGTCACTGTGCAGCTAATATGCTTGTGGGACAGACTTTTTAAATGGCGTCTCTGCAGGACGACTGTCAGATTGATTTGGAGGGATTGAGTCAGGTTTATACTTGCAGAGGTGTACGGCCTCTGGGAGAAAATTAAATATATCTTGAGTTATGCGTGTTCTGCCAGATGCGTTGCGTTTCGTCCCCAGCACCTGCTCCAACACAAGTAAAGGAAAATGGTGAAACGAGTTGCTGCTCTCACATCCTTTCCCGAATAGTACGTCACCCTGACCTGCTGGACTCCATTCTTGGCAATTACATATAAGCAAGCGTTAAGCCTGTGAGAACTGTTTGCTTTCATCCTCTTTTAGGTCGTGCAGCGGCAGGGCTGCGGTGAGGGCGGCTTCTGGGTGCAAGCCGGCAGCTGGAGGGCGAGCCACAACCAGCTGCACCTACCAGCGGCGGCACTGGACCTGCTGGGATACTGCTTGGTGAGCTCTTGCAATGCGGATTACCTTTTGCAGCTTTGTTTATATTGCTTGAATTTGTCAAGGACGGACTATTAGCAGTCTGAGCATCTGCATAGACGGCAGAGTTGAGACTGGCCTAGCAGTACAATCGGCAGCTTGCTGACGACCTCGCCCAGTTGCGTGCTGTGGTTTCTATATGTCCTGTTGAGCGAGTGCAAACGAAAGATTACGCAATTATGACAAATTGCTTGATTAAACATTCCGTTTTGGACCGCAACCTCACACAGCAATCTAGCGTTGTCGAGCGTCCTGCTGTCGCATACACATAAAAGGCGGGACAACTCAATGCAAACGAAACAATATAAACCAATACACATGTTGCTTTCGCAATATGCCAAGCAGCTGTCCCTTTAAAAACAGCTAAGACAATTTGACTTCTTAGGAGTCCGAGATCAATACAATGATTGGTGTCCCTGCACGCGCGACCAAATAACGGCCTATCGGAGTTTTCAGAAATATAATGGTACGTTAATCAGATGAAATTGTATGTTAGGCTGTCGCCTGCTGCTTTGCAGTATAATACTTGAGTTGTACGCCCCGCTTCCCTCTTATTCCCATAAAAACTGTCAGGTTTCACTCCCTCGTCCGCATGTCATTTAAACCTCTAATGAAGATGAGTTTTGCCTGAATACCATGCTTGCAGGTGAGTAGCAATCTTGGCGGATTTATTCCGAAGGACAGGCGCATGCGGGCGCTTGCTGCGTGGACGGAGAATTGTCTAGAATCTCGCAAATCTACGCACAGTGGCCGATGCAGCGCCGGAATGCAGTGGATTCAATTCTCTTAGCTGTCGTCGGTGCGGCCATGTGCCCTGCTCGCGTCTAGGTGAGCTGTGGTTGAGCGCTTTATAACCGTCAAGGACGTGCGGAAACCTGGTTATCTAGCATTCAAAATATTCGATTGTAAAACCGTTCCGGCCAAGCTTGTAATGGCGGAATACTGCCTGTCACACGTAAAAAACTTTAGATCCAAGATCACACCGATAGTGACTCGGTTTAGAAGCTCTTGGAGCAAGGCTGGAAACCGGGCGTGGGCAAGGTGGGCGCATATTTGTCCACAGATGTCATACCAGCGCCACGTAGCTAGTTCCTTTGCATTTTAAAGTTACCCTTGAAGCTCCCTTGAAATATCCCTTCACCATGAAAGAAACCCTGGAAACTTGCAGGCAAGGCAAGTTTACTGTAAGCTAGGCGAAGGAAAACAATGCGTTATTACAGCGGTTGGCAGCACGCAGTGTATCGGTGTGATGAAGAGACACGCAATCGCAAGGATGCGCGTTCAGTCTTGCACCCTTCACAGTTAGAGCGAACGTCCTCGGCGAGTTGCGGTCAGGGAGGACCTCTTCGGCTGGTTATTTTAAGACTATTTGGTTAGACCTGATGTATCTGATTCAGCCCGTCGTCAGGCAAAGGCACGCAAGTTAACTTAGTTATTTGATTGTACATTTTTTGGGGGGGGGATAAAGCTACGATGAGAGAGCTCCGCTCGCTTAGTGTATTTCGTTATCAATTGAGGCCATGCATGTATAGTAGACACCTTCACAAAAACAATAATAAGTATCAGTATCTTATTGATTATCAATGCTGGTATGCCCTACGTAATGGTGATGGTCATGTCGCATCGGCTTCGCAGCTGTGCGGCAAATCGCTTGCGAGCGCGATTCGCACGTAACCTCGTACGTAAAAGGTACTTCCAAGCTCAAACCCTCTCTCATATTTTCACATAAATTTTAAGGTGAACACCCTAATGATACTTTGGACATAATGGGGACGAAATGCTCTGTCGGTTGGAGCACATGTTGCCTGACGTGGCTAGCAAGTAAAATGTCTGGAAGCCCGTATTACAACGCGCGGCCTTCATTATATAACCAAAAAACTACCACCAGATGATGTGTAGCTTTACGCTTTGAGTAACATATCCATGCTCCATTGGCACAGAACGTTTTTATAAGCACAGGCTTTCCTTCTGTTTGGAGCAAAGTTGGGAACAAGGAACGCCTTGTTTTACAATAACTTCTACATTTCAATAGTCAAGGAGAAATAATTGCGCCCTTGCCCAGCATACAACCGTTTGTATCTGAGGTTGTCTTACAGTCTCTTACACCGCCTATGTTGCTTGGCTGTATATACAGCATATATACGCAGTAGCCCTTTTCCAGCTTGGTAGACCTACTCCCCGGTAAAATGGATACTTACTCCTGGGAAATTTTGAGATGCTCGCTCGCTTCATACTCAAGCTAGGCAGTTACGGGTGTCGTGCAGAGGCTGTAGCCTCGCATTAGCAATCAACCGACCGGAAACTTGCAGCGACAGGCAGCTAAATGAAGCAGGGTTCATCCCAAGGTTATGATTAGTTTCCTTACCGAAGCTTCAGTCCCAGTGGTGTCGCATAAATGATATCGCGCGCCAGCTTGTGCGGACACGCGCTGGGAGTTCATCTGTAACTCGTGCAGCTGAAGCGAAATTCCTATTGGGTTTTTGCGACGGTTTCCGAACTGATAGTCAGCCCCTTAGGAGCTGAAAACGAGATAATGCTGCCTGCCTGTCAGCCCTTTCCCAACCGACAGCCCGTTCTGTCCCGTCCTGTCTTCCAAGCAACGGTATACGGTATACACTTCATCCTGTAAACGAACACGAAAAACATCAATTGCATATTATATTTTCATGTACAATTTAGCATGCCGTTACCGACGATAACAATCGGACTCACAACACCGGTTACATCCTGTCTATCTGTGCCAACTGTGCGCAGGGCTCCTTCAGGAAAAAAAATTCATTCATTCATGACTTATTGTCGCGGATCTCGGTGGTGAACTGAGAACAAGGTGCTCTGCGGCCCCTGCGGCTTTTATGGTTCTTCCAGTATACGCTTCGATGTGCTTAACTGGCGTTGTGATCGCCCTGGCGCTCACGGCACCTGGCCTTGCTATCGCCGCTAATTTGAGAACCAGGCATATGGAGACGAACCGTGCGGGCGTTGCCACAGGTAAGAGAAGGCCCCCACCTGCTCTCACTGTGCCCAGACCACCGGACCATAATACCCCCCCTCACCACATACGACACCCTCCCGGGCGCCCGTACCTACATACATACACACGCTTCCCGGCCACCACCACAAAAATGCGCACAAACACAGGCACCTTGATGATCCGTTCGATTGCGCGAAGCGATGGATCGGATGCTTTGGAGGCCTCCCTCCTCGAGGACAGCGGTTTCGTCTACCGTGTTGCTTTTTGCGAGGGCAAAGTGGATCTAGAGGAGCTGCCACCCAATGCCCGCGTACGATTATCGTACCGAAACATCTCCAGCGGCGTGATGCACTCGTGCGAGGCGCCGGCTCTGATGGTGGAAGAGGAGTCGGTGGGTGAGGACGCAGGGAGAGATGGAGAGGCCGACGAGCCGGGAAGTGCGGGAGGTAACCGCCGCCGGCTGTTTGGGGGCACCATTTCCACGCCCACAGCGCCATCGTACTTGGTGTTTCTAACACAAATGTGCAATTACAACAAGCCGGCAGCAGCCTCTGTGGAGGTACGGCAGCAAGTGCTCTGTGATTTTTTTGTTGAGTTGGTCCGTGCTTAGGAGTCTGAAGAGTTAATTTGCCTGTTGATAATTTGCTGGGTGTGTTACGGATGACCAGGAAAGGTCATCTCGCCCCGCTGGGTGCGCCCCTGTAGTGTGGATGAGCTCGGGATGGGGTCCGCATGGTGGTTGTGAAGGTGGTTGTGCTTATTGGTACTGCTACGGAAACAGCTACGGAAGCAGCGGGACTCTGATAATAGCTCTGTCGATGCCGACCGTTCAGATAGTCCACTAGTACTCTCACACGTGCATAGACACACGTTCTCCTTTCGGGCCCCTAGCTTGTACCGTTTGCTTCAGCATTGCCTTGCCTAAAAACTCAGGTATCAATGTGTATGCCCAGGATACGCACTGCTAACTCAGCGTCTGCATCCCCCCCCACCCCACACACACCACCCACACATACACCACACACACACACACCCCTACGCGCACGGGGCTTAATATAATAATAACTCATTTTGCTGTCAGAAGAAACTGCAGCTGCAATAACCTTGGCGACGGCGCTTGCTGACGGGCTCCGTTTCATGTCACACCCCCGTTGTTGTACACACCACGCAGATGGTGTACGACTTGTTCAACGGTACCGGCCTCCTTGGCAAAGCTATTACCGCCGACGATTACTTCAACGGCACCGGTCCCCTCGCCCGTAACCTGGGGGCCTACTACACAACGTGCTCGTACGGCCAAGTCCAGGCCCCTACTGTCAAGGTCATGGGTCCCGTAGAACTGCCCTGCAACGGCTCGGTAGCCCACCTGTTGTTTTCCTATCCCGACGGAAATTCATTCAATACGTCAGGATGTGGCGGCTTCAATTTGGATAAATGGCAGTACTGGTTGGAATACTACGCCGCGTCAAAGGGTGTCACTGCGAGCGAGTATACCCACCAAGTAATGCTGCTCCCGAAGGGATTCATGGCCACAGCCCCCGGTGAGATCGACCAACTGACCAACCGACCAACTGACCAACTGACGAACTGAGCATTTCAGTGGGAGAGGAAGGGAACCGAAGGTTAGGATGAGACAAGGTTGCGTGGTTGTGTGCTGTTTGTCAGGCGGGCTCGAAGATAAGGCGACCTCCGAGATAGCGGAGTATGGACTCCGGGGAACGGAAGACCCGCATTCGACTAATGTACGGCGACCAAACAGTACCTCGCCGTCCCACGCCGACTTTTTTCATTCCTCTCCTCCTCCTCTCCTCGTCCTATTAATATTTGTTGGCCTCGGCATCTCGCCTGATGGGCGCATCTCGTTTGGTGGGCGCTATGCTCCCTAGCTCCAGACCTCCGCCACAGCTTCCCTTCCCGATCCCAACAAGACAGACTTGCTCGTCCATGAACCCGGCCACATCATAAAGCAGCCTCCACCCTTTCGCACACAGACGCCCATCCCCAGCCACCCATGTTGTTTCGGCTCACCTTTGCCTTCCTCATTTACTCACCCGCCCACCTTACCCCCCCCCATCTGTGGCCCCATCTGTGGCGCCATCTGGCCACAGGCTGCAACGGCGCCGCCGGCTCGGCCACGTTCGGCGCTCGGCTTTCGGGCACAGGGCGAAACACATATGGCACGGGCTTCATCTGGCTGTCTGGCGATTTTTTTAGCCGGCTGGAATTTTGGCTGCACGAGGCCGGACATAATCTTGGGTTAGGACACGCCAACAGCACAAGAACCTGCGGCTGGGGGGATCAATGTGACTGGACATGCACCATGGGGGCGGTGGATGGCCAAGGCATCCGGTGTTTTAACGCGGCGCACAATTGGCAGGCATGTACGGCAAGCGTACGGGAGGATATGCCCCATCTATTCTAGAGCTAGGAGGAGCTCCGAATATGTTTTACTTCACAGTTGCACCAGCTGTGCCGTACACCCATATACCCAGCAGCCTCCAGCGGAAAGGTGGATGAACACGCAGACACAGCTCGTGGGGCCTCACCCTGTGTCACCTGGCGGTGTAGATAGATAGATAGATAGATAGATAGATAGATAGATAGATAGATAGATGCCGGCGTTGGCCTCCTAGGTATAAGCTCTCCGCTTTAACTCGTCACATTAACCCTTCCATAATGCAACTAGCTATGGACCTTCCATCAGCGAAATCTAACCAAGGTAACGAATGTTTAACGTTGCTCCACCTACCGCCCCATATGTCCGATGGACACTCTTCCTTATGCCATTGCTATCATGTACAGCTGGGCTGGGGCTGGCCACACCAAGGGCTTACTGCGGCCAACTTGTCCACCGGCTCCCGTCAATTTCTGGTTCCTCCGCAATCCAGCGGGCCGGCGTCCTTCATCATGGCAGCCAGCCTCCCTGGAGCGACCACCAATCAACGGTTTTACGTCTCTGCGCGCATTAATGCACCGCCGTACGACTTGCCCTTCAAGGCGAACCGCAACGGCGTGCCGTACCTGCTCGTCCATACCTACAGCGGTACAATTGCATCGCCGATTTCCCGTACAACGCTGCTAGCGCAGCTGGACGTCGGGGCGATTTACACACACAGCGCCACGGGACTGACGGTGAGGTTTGATCGTTGGGTGGGCGGCGAGGGCGCGCTAGCCAGTCTTTGCCTTCGGTTGGCGGAGGTAGAGCAGACCTGTGGCGATGGCCTAGACGACGACTGCGACTTCCTGCCGGACGAGCTGGACCCGGACTGTGCCGGCAGGATGCCTGGCGGCGAGAGCATTCAATCGAGATGGGGTGAGGATACGCCCGCCAGCAGCCCTCCCAGCCGGCAGCCGCCCCCACCAGTGGCAGGGCGAAGCCCCCTTCTAGCTAGTCAACCGCCATCACCCAAGCCACCACAGCCACCAAGGCCTCCGACGCCTCCAAGCCCTCCGACGCCTCCAAGCCCTCCGACGCCTCCAAGGCCTCCGACACCTCCAAGCCCTCCGACGCCTCCAAGGCCTCCGACGGTGCCACCACCTCCCAAGCCACCGCCTCCTTCTCCACTTGCCCCCTCTCCGCCGAGACCTCGACCCCGGCAGCGCCGCCCCCCTCCTCGTCGGTCTCCACCGAGCAGCTCTGTCCCACCGCCGCCGCCGCCGGCCGCCAAACCAACGTCGCGATAGCCCCCACCAGGAACCGACCCGTCGCCGCAACAACAAAGCACATGCAGGCTGTCAATGATGCATGGCTGATCGCTTTCGCAGCTGCCGTTTACACAGTTGAAGGGCGATGCCAGCCGTTCCCACTGTCGCTCTTGTGCCAAGCACATCGTTCGTGCCGCCGCCATCTCTGACATAGCCGTTGGTGCCACCGTTGGCGGTTGAGGCGCAAACGGTGTAGTGACATCGCAGCAACCACCACCGCCAGGACGGGGCAGTTCCTATATAGGCCACCCCCAATGCCGCTGGCGTCAGAGAACCCGAATCCCAACTATCATGAAGTTCACCTGTATATATATCGCGCCTACGTACAGTAGCGGAGGCCATTTTCAATAAAGATTGATGGTACGATGTATCCTCCTCGTCCTCCGCTACTGTTTGTGTACGGTCGTGAAGTTAGCTTAGCTCTGCGCGCATGCAAGGTAGCGAGCGACATCAAACTAGGATTTGCGGGGCAAGACAGAAGTACCAACATCTGTTTTTTGGGGGGGGAAACGTTTGTGGGACGGACGCGTAAGTGGAACAGTATTCCCACGGACTCGGACGACCCTCTGGACGACCATCCCTGCGTGACGAGTACCCATCTGGACGAGCATCCCTCTGGACGAGCCTTCCGGTCCTGGCGTAATTACCTGCTGAGATCCTCCTAGCCAAACGTTTGGCTGTTTTGCCCCATGGTGTTATCCCCATGCCAATGTGCGTGCTTGCCGTGCCATGCAGTGCGAACAAGTAAACGGCGTACGGATGGCATTGACTGTCTACGGTCAGGATTCGATTAGATGCATGCTGCTTTGATTGAAGGGTCGCTTTCGGTGGGCGTAAGTAGGCGTTGCCACCGATACGAATGGATGACGATGCTCCACTTTTGGAACCGGAACAAGGACGACCGGCGAGCCTAACATAAAGTGCAAATAGGCCGGATGAAAGCGTATACTGCTACGTCGCAAACAAGTACGTACGAACGTATGTATGTGCACGTAATTGGGTTTGCTATAATGCCGAAATAATAATGCGAGTGTGCCAGCGCTGGGTGCGTGCCCTTCTTGTAGTAGTTGTCGTACCGTCGTACGGCAGACACTCAAGCTACATGACAGTACACGCTAAAGCCAGCATTCCGCCAGTATCTCGGAAGGCTTTTTCGGCGGCGCCAGCCTTTACACTTTGGCGGACAAGATTGTTCTTTAAGGGCAAGAAAGGTAGAAGTGATGATGAGCAACAAAAGGTGTGCGCGTATGTTTCCTTTTGCAGTTGGGTCCCCCCCACACACACATACATACATACACACATTTGTGTGGGGATTTAAACCCGTCGGTATGCATGCATATCAATCTGTTCCGCCCGCGCGTGATGAACGTCGGGTCTATGCCAGTAGCTCATGTTGTAGATTGTGGTAGACTACTGATAGCTGGTGGTATGAGAGGGAAGTGATTGACACAGTTAGTTAGTTAGTTAGTTAATCTGGCGTTTGGGCGCTAGGTAATGTTACCAGAGCCGCTAGGTAAGGCAACAAGAAGCGAGCGAGTGCGGCTTATGCTTGCACATATGTGAGTTCTTGATGAGTGTGAACGCACCTCGTCAGTCAAGTTCCTTGTTGCCCAGTGGTTACATATGCGCCTTTTTATAATGGCGTGTTTCCCTTTCTGGACGCACATACATACATATGGACGTGCGTTGAAGGTTAGGTTAGGTAGGTAGCTAGGCCAAAATCATCCAAAGTTAAAGCAGAGCTCCCCTGCATGTGTTTTGTTTTTATTTGTGTGTTTTGTTTGTATGTATATGCGTATCTGGCTTGGAAGTCTGTGTATCTTCTGGGTACGTGTGTACGTGTGTATGTGTGTGTGTGTGTGTGTGGTGCGGTATTACATATAATCTGATCGGACCTGACACTGATGATGGTCACGTGGCAGCTTGCTGGACGTGATGCTGCTGGCCAGAGGTGCACGCCCTGCCCTGACAGAACGATCACCAAAGCATATTTTACCCCCTCCGAAACCAGGTTGAAGGGCCGTACTGAAGTGCGGCGGACGTGAGGGTCCCCATGCTGCGTGTGGTTTTTTGCATGAACCCAGCGCGGGGTAAAGCAATGGTAATGGTTAGGTAGAACATTAGACAGATAAGTAGATTGCAGGAGCAGTTTTGTTTTGATGCTTGCACGGCACGGCTGCATCCTGTGCTCTGCACCTCGGCCGGGCATTTTATACCGGGATGCAGTTCGTGTGGTATCTAGGTACGTAGATATACGTAGGTACGTAGGCGGGCCAAATGTCCGTTCACAACAATGCTAAATGAATACCTATGCCGCCACCACAACAATTAGTTCCTCGCTGTTCGATTTACGATGCCCTTCGCCCCAATGATAGCGGTCATTGACGGATCCGCCCGCCCGCCGAGGCGGTTTAATAACCACGGCATGCGTGTTCGCTTCCTCCAGGGGGTATTCCAGGTGGGCCCTGGTGGTACACCTCGCCTGCTAGTAGTTGCTCGCTCTTACTACCAGTGCTTTCGTTCGTTCCTTCTCATAGTCGAGATTAGTAAAAGTACGAAATCCGATGAAGTAGATGAATGTAGGTAGCTAGCCAGAAATCGGCAGACAGACAGACAGACGGACGCACGGACACGAGCGAGCATTACACGTGTACGGGTGCGTGTACGTATGCGTGTCCGGGTGTTGCTAGAGGCAGACAGCAGGGAGGATCGAGCGACGAACAGTCGGCTTCTTGCAATGCCTGCCTTTCTATCCTTTTGCGTTAAGCCGGCAAAATAATTGATTGATTGCGGACCTTGATGGCAATTGATGCCGGACAGGGTTGGCGGATGGTGGATGGGCGAAGAGGTGGTTAGAAGGGATAGCCTGCTGGATTGACGGAGGCAGGACAGGGCGCCATACCCTGAGTGGCTGGTGGATGGTGGCTGGATGGATGGACTTTGCTAAGTCAGCGTACCGGGTGCGGATGGGCTGGGTGTGGATGGCATGGCTGCTGAGTTAAACGGGCACGCAGAGTTGGCGAATTGATGGCTACTGACCTGTGATGAGCTTGGTGGGTTTAGATACATATCCGGCTTGTAGGGAGCCGCTACGCCTTTGGAGAGTAACGCAACTCAAGGAGTAACACACATACATACACACACACACATACACACACATATACACACACATATACACACACATATACACACACATATACACACACATATACACACACATATACACACCTTGTGCATATAAGGAACGAGACCCATCAGCGTCCACTTGGTAAATGAGAAAACCCTCTCGTGTATGACGGCTTTCACGCACGCACAATCAGCTGCCGGGGGCCAGCAGCAGCAGACGTATCTTCTTGTAAGTTTACAAGCCTGGGACGGCTTTGGAAGAGTAGATCAGACAGGATAGCGACCGAAAGCTCCACATACAAAGCTAGGACTCGTCATTCTGCGTCCTCCTCTAGCGAACGCTCAACCTCGTGCAGCAGCAGTCGTGTTAGGTCGACGTCATCTCATCAGTGCCAAATCACCAGCTTGATCAACAAATGGCTGAGAAAACCCCAAAACCTCGTGCCGACGAGTACGAGCTAAGTATCAGGAATAAGTGACCTGATAAACCTGCAATAGGTGTTATGCTTCCTGTGCTCGTGGGATGATCCCATGCATTGGGAAACGTGGCTGATATTGACCCCTGGTGATAACTCGTACCATCGCATCGTGAGGCGGTGGAGCAGGAGGCAGGTAGAGCAAACGCACTGGGTGTCATGTGTACACTCCGTGCGACTCTGTACCATATGACTTTGTGTCATACACGACTCATCGAAAACTAAGTGCACCTCATCGGGTGCGAGCGAGCTCATGCTGTACGGCTACTTGCAAATCTCCTGCCGCACGACCACAGCCCTGCCGCATGTGCGGGCACATGCAATAATAATAATAATAATAATAATAATAATAATAATAATAATAATAATAATAATAATAATAATAATAATAATAATAATAATAATAATAATAATAATAATAATAGTACGCCGGCCGAGGCCTGGCGTGTGTTAAGGGGGTGGGGAACTGAGGGGCGGCGTAGCCGCTCCTGTATGCCCGCACCACCCGGGCACATGCACCACACCTTTTGCTGTGGCAAACATGTTGAAGGCTAAGCTAAAAGTTGTTAGTTTTCAGCATGTTCACTACAACATACATCCTATCTTCCCGGGCGAGATCTCGTCCACGTTGGACCCTATTGGTCCATATTTATGTATGGTTTATCCACACACAAGCGATGGCTTTATCTTCATAACTAAAAATGAAGCCCATGGAAGCTATAAGGACCGCTAAGCGCTAAGCGCCAACAAAGACATTGCATGCGTCCAAAATGGGTTTTGCAGTAGCCCTGCTTCCAGGCACTGCTCGCACAGGGAGTGCGCCCACACGGCAGCACCCTGGGGCCCGAAGCTTACAGGACATGTCGACATTCCTTTGAAGGTATGTTTGTATATTTTTCTGTGTGCCTTGACTGCCGCCCACCTGTAGCTGGTCATTTACTGGTATGGTGTTCGCACAAGCGTGAGGACGACAAAAGAGCGGTACGGTGGCCTTCGGGCGCCCTTGCCCGTCCACTGCTTAGGCAGGCGGCGTCATGGTGATACTGAAGACGGAGGTGTTGCCGTGGAAATCTTTTCCCGCCTTTGCCGCTTTCCTCTCCTTCATTTTTCCCTCGGTAAGGTGCCATGAATCCATAAGGATGAATCCACAAGGATGTGATACTGCATTTCGATTGCTAGGGAAATCCGTGATGAAGCGAGACGAGCCATGGGTCGTTAGGCCAAATGTTTCCCTCCCTGTGCATCACGCTTAGCCTACGGTGCACACGGCGTTATATATACATAGTCCAGGTGGACTTCGATGCAACATGTTGAAAGTATACTGCTTGTTGCCATCTGTTGTTATTATTGTTCCATGAGGGCAGGAAATATACGTATCATGTATATATACATATGTATGTATGTGTATCGTGTGTGTGGACATACATCCACACACACGATACACATACACACATACACATATATATATATATTGCCTGTGTATATGTGTGTACCAGGGTCGTACCGGACACTTGTGTCTTCTCGAGGTAGGTAGAGGGGAGCAGAAAAAGTACAGGACGTAACGTGCTTAAATGACAGATATATATTACAGGGGCTATCGCGATGGAAGATGATGGGGTTGAAAGACAGATTAAAGGGCCGCCGTTAGAACTACTGGTGCTGCTGCCGCCGCCGCTACTAGCATTGACGGCAACGGGCAAGGAAGCCCGTGTGTTGACACGCCGCCAGACTCCGCCACCACGCACATTTGTACTCACGTACGACGTTCACCAACAATTGCCATTCAGATGACCCAATCCCATTACCGCAAAGGGCAAAAGAGGCAAGGGAGGATGGCGACAGACATCGCGCCTTCCCCGCACCTTCCCCGCACCATCTCAACGGATGAACAGACGGACAGACAGATAGACCGACAAATGGACGCGCACGTACCTTCGGACAAACAAATCGAAGTCGGAGCTGTCGTCACTTCGTTGAACATCAATCGAAATTTGACAGAATGATAAATTGAAATACTTGAATTGAATTGTTACAGGGTGGGAGGCTTCTGAGCCATTTGAACACAATTCACATATGGCTGTAAGGAGAGGAGGGGTTCGCCCGCTTTCTCAGGGACTGGTACGGCACCCCCTAGCAGGTCCACCTGTCATCGATGGCGGCAGTGCCACCATAGCGTACCACATTCCCTACTCCAGGCGCGGAGGATGCAGAAAATTAGGCGCCAAACGGTAAACGAGTTGCAGCGCAAAACACAGGACAACTCCCCGGCACGGCACGGCACAGTATTCCCGCACGTAGCCCTGTGATGAGCGAAACACGACTATCACATGCTGCGGTACGACAGACCGCGCAGCGCGACACACGACATCATATCACATGACACGCACACAGAGAAGGCAACAGCGACAAGACGGACGAGCGACAAGATGGACGCTGGTTGTTCGGACTTAGGCAGAGGGACGATATCAAAAGGTTCGGGGCTGCGCATGGGCGGGCAGGAAGAGCAGCACACGAAGCCGGGGCTGCCCATGGCGCCTGCGGCAACTGCAGTCGCCTCCTTCCTGCTGGGGATGTTGGCCAGGTCTCACAGAAACATAACCCTAGTGCTCTCCCAAGCACTAGTAGGGACAGAGAGAGCTGTGCACGTTCCGAAAAGAATCAGGTTTGGTTCTTTTTAATCAAACCTCCTCCACCGCCTCCGAAACGATGTTGCTGCCGCATAACTGCACACACACACACACACACAGAGTGGCATCGGGTTCATTCTGTCCGCTGTGCGATGCTGATGGCGCGTAAGGGGCTCTCCGCGCGATGAGGTGATGAGCAGAGGCCTTGCGAAATAGACTGCTACAGCTGCTCTGATATCGTGAAAAGACGTGCCGTGGCAGGCAGTGGTACATCAGGCGGTCGCCGGAGGTGGCCATCAGGACCGTCAGACCATCCGCCTGCCCGACAAACGTGGACGTCAATCCCGACGTAACATACTCTTTCTGTGGAAAAAGCGGATTGCGTGTCGGCACCGTATGAACCATATTTTACCTCATGCATGTTATTAGACCGCACAATTGACTGATTTGAAAGCACAAGATACGCAACACGCACTAACCAATCTTCACCAAACGCCCTAATGAAGACCGCAACACCTCCTCATCCTCATCGCACACAGGCACTCCCGAACGAAAGCATCAAAATGAAACGCCGCAAAGTAAATTCTTCTTCTTTTTCTTCTTCTTCTTGGTCCGTTTGCCTCCCAACCAACTCTCGCTCTCCCGCTTCCACTCCAGGCGGCGTTCCTGCCACCCTACCTCTCCTCCCTCCCCATCATCCGCACTCCTCTCCCCTCGTATCTCACCTCTTCCCGCCTCTCGCATTCCAGGCACGGGACAACGGACTTGGGAGACCTGCATGAGACGGGCATACGCCATGATTCAGGACGCAGCACCGACGCGATGATAGCGACAGAGATTTCAGGACGAAACGCCGTACACATGCCGTACAACTGGGACTACTACAATATCGCTTTGCACATCCCGTCCTTTCCAAACCCCTCCGCAACCTGACCAAAGCAAAATAACAATCGGTTATACCAGCTTCCTCATCCTGGGTCAGCTAGCAGACACAAGACACAGAGGCCCAACAGCATCCGCGTCGTCATCACCAGACATTTTTACATTACATCACCTTCATATGCACAATTTCTCCACTCCACCAGCAGGAGGATACACACTTTTGTGCATCCCCTTACACGAGCGCCATTGCATGCACGCCCTAAAAGCGCATGACGAGTGCCGTATCCAGACGGCCAGCCTCTCATCACCGCTTGGACGTCTTTAACAGCTGAAAAAGCACACATCTTCCGGACTTCTATTTGAAATGTTTGTTTCAGCTAGAAGCGTCCATCCGGTTCCAGTCCCAGCCCACACAGCCACTACCACCGCCAGATCCAGCAAACGACGGCGAATCAACACAGAGAGCACCAGGCAACCAAAAACAACGAAGCAACCAAAAAAAGGAAAACACAACATCACGCCACAATAATCCAACCCACGGACAAGGACTATTCGCGCAACAAACGAAGCCTTCCGCCTACATCACCACCCTCCACCGAACGCACCGGCAAGATCCCATCCGACTCTACAAATCGCACCAGGAAGTTCACGGCTCCGGCCTCCGACCAACAACAACAACAACAACAACAACAACAACAACATCATCACCATCATCGTGGGGAAATGTCCTTTAGAGCCTCAACCCTGCCTCTGGAACTCGTTTTACGTGCTTCGAATCCAGCGACATCGCGAGAACAAACCGCAACCGATAAGGAAGCGGAAACGCCCCTCCTCTCTCCCCCACACCAATACTGCACACTCCGCGGGCTCCCCCCCACGAGCCGGGACGGGCCCAGCTCTTGTAGCTCCGCACCCTTACACTACTACCAGCGGCAGGCAATTGCACATCTTCGACACGCGTATGGCCGCAATGGCCCAAGGGTCAACCTTAAGGCTATAAAATACATCCCATGCAAAAGAGCTATCAGCGAAATCCGTCTCCCTTCGCGGTTTCTCGCCCCTTCAGGCCGCTCCGTCGCTTTTCATTCGCTCATCCGAATCCCCTTCCCCCGATTTCCGCATCACATCCACCAACGTACATCCCCCATCGTCGTCGTCATCGCCGAGCCTTGTCGTCGAGCCTTCACCGCAACTGCCGCCTGCCGCCACCGCCTCGCCTCTCGCTCCATCTTCCCCTCATCGCACAGGCCAGAAATCCCTGCGATGTCATATGCAGCAGCCACCTCGGCGAGGTAGCCGCGCCCCAAACCTCATCCCGCTGAACATTGGTACGCCAAAAACCAGCAACCGAAGAAACCGCTTCCTACTACCAAACTAACAAAAGCCCTTGACGCATCGCCATCATCGCCCCCTCAGTTCTCAAGTTCAGCGCTCTCACATGGCATATACACCGGTGGGGGCGCCGGAGCCAATGTACCGCGGCCGTACATGTACCGACAGAGCTCCCGCTGGCGAGGACATAAGAGGAGGAGCAGGAGCAGCAATACTCTTGAATCGTATCGACATCATTTAGGCGGCGCCAGCGGCGGGCCTCTTGATCGCCAGGCGGGCCTTTTGTCGCTCGGTGGGCAGTTTGATGTTGCTCGCGAGCCCCAGCTTCTCCAGGAGGCAAACCATACCCCATGTCATGTCCACCTGCCACCACTCGAAGCCGTGGCGAGCTGAGAACTCGAAGGCGTGGTGGTTGTTGTGCCAGCCCTCGCCAAAAGCCAGGATACCCACCCACCAGTTGTTCTTGGACAGATCGCCCGTGTCGTAGTCCTGAACAGCGCCGTGGAGAGGGGGAGAGAGAGAAGGGTGAGGCGTTATGATGCGAGGGAGGTTCGGATTCGGACGAGTGAAAAGCTGCCAGGAGGTGGGCGCGAGGGGTCGCCCGGGACAGCCAACCCCCCTCCATAGTCCCGCGACGGCCAACCGACCGACGGCCAACCGACCGACCGCCAACCGGACGGCATCAGTAGCTCAAAGCCACATCCCGCCACCCGGCCCCCGGGGTCCCCTGCTACCGCCTTTCCAGTTGCCTTCCGTGGACCACGACCACCCCTCCCACCCCCTCCCCTCCCCTCACCCCCCCCACCTGATACCCCCAGCAGTGCGACGCCGAGTTTACGAACCAAGTGATATGCCACACCCAAACCATGCGCAGCGCTCCGCCCCAAACAACGGCCGGCAAGCCGCCCGCCTGAGTTCACAGCAGCAGCGGGAAACAGGTGGAAAAGCAAGGAAGAAGCGCGAGTGTGCGCCAGGCAGATTAACGAATTAACGCCAAAAGTGAAACTCGCAATGCACACCAGACTCTACAGAAAAGCAAAAACAAAGATTCCATTATCCTTTTTTTTCGTAATAATCATATCAAATCAATCAATCAATCCTGCACCCACCAGGAATAGAACCGCCAACTGGGCTGCCACATGCCACCCATACGTGTCACGCAGGAAGCGGTAATACCACTGGGACTCCAGGTCATCGGCGTTGCTGCGGTTGGAAACTCGCTCCATCGTGGCCTAAAGAGGACACAACACAAGACACACATTGAACACAAAGACATACATACATATGTAATGTAATACATATATACGTACACATCGAACATCAACCCTCAAAGACGAGGATGAAAGCTGAGTTACAGACAGGGATGGAGAAATGTCCGTGTCTTGGCGGAAAAAATCAGGTGGTACATTTTCACCAGGGGTTGTCATGGATATAAGAAGTTACGGAGGATTATTGAACCCAGAGTGTCGCACACACATGCGACTACAGAAACACGATGGCCATCCGGGACTCAAGATTTCGTGTAGAAAACCAGCTATCTCACCGAACTGGATTGACCTTTCATCCCTGGCTGTAGTTCTTCCCAATTTATTGCCATAAACATGGGTTTGGGTTCGCCGACAAGGGCCGCAACGCACCCAGGACGCTCCTTGACTAACACATCTCCAGTCCATATCCACCGTGCATCCGCCCACCCCGACTGTGCCCTGGCACCAGCTTAACACTACGCTCCAACACTTCGCAGTCCGTCCATGTCCAGCCCATTCGACACACCGGCACAGCGAGCTCCGAAACCGAGCCAAACAGACAAATAAACGAACCAAGTAAAAAGCTTTCGGAATCTCCTCTTTTCCCTTCACCCCCGCCGCACCTCACAAACAGGCGATTGCGCCACTCCAACCCCACCCAGCCCTCGCCCCACACCGCACCCGGTTGTCCAGCAGCCAGCCCATGTGACTCCAGAAGAAGCCCTCGTACGGCGAGTGTGGATCCAGAGGAGTGTCGGTATGGAGGTGGTGGTAGCGATGACTGCTGGCCCATTCCAAAGGGTCGCCCTGTTTGCAAGTATTTAGGTAGGTAGGTAGGTTCGTATGTAGGTACGTAGAAGAGCGTGTGATTGACGGCGGGGAAAGAAAGGGGAGAACGTCCATTCAACACCACATGGACCTGGCAAAACCCTTTTCCCCCCTCCCCCAACCTCCCCGTGGGTCCATTTTCGTACCTGTACGGCCAGCACTCCGCAGTACGCCAAGATGTACTCGAGCCACTTGGGCGTTGTGAAGGACTTGTGGCTCAGCTGCCGGTGGTACGACAGAGTAATGCCCAGGCAGCCGGTCACAAAGTACGACCCGAAAAACAGCGCCACCATATCCCAAGAGAACGTGAAAGGCGCCGCCAGCGCGAGCAGGTGCATTCCGCCGATAAAGGCAGTGTAGTACAAATCCGTTCCGTTCCAGTCGCGGCCAAAAAGGTTGCGCTTCGGGACAGTATAGACGTCGGAGAATGGCACATGCCCCGCACCGGGCTCATCTGCCTGTGCCATCTTGTTGGGCTTGGGTACGATTTTCTTAGTGTTCAAAGGCTTGTTGTTGTACAGCTCCTCGTACTGCTTGTTGTACGACATTTGGGCCCAGCGAGCAGCCTCCGAAACAGGGCCCTCCGCCACCGCAGATGAGGAAAGCGGCGCTGCCATCTCCGCCACGCTGCATCGGTGACATAAAAGAAAAAGCATGTCGTGAATTTGTCAGCCACAGAAGGTCAAAAAAACACTGACAGGAAAGTCGACGCAACGCAGGCAGTGATGCAAATGCTAATATGCCGAACAGAAAATACGTGATAGAGTTTGGATCAACAGCCAGAGAATTCAGGAAAAAGTCAAGACGGGAAACAGGCAGCCAAGGAAGGCAGGCATTCGTGACACTGACTATTGTTCCCGTCGCTATCGATCGGTGTCCACTGTCACAATCGCACTCTTCGCAATGACTGCATCGTTGGAAGTGTGCGTTGCAACTATGGTAGCTTCGCACCGACTTCGGGGGCGGTGCTAACACTAAGCCACAACGCTTTAAATTCTGCGCCACTGCGTCAGCACGAGTGCTGTAGGTCAAAGCCCGTGGGAAGACACGGATAAGGAGGCGAGCTGGAAGACCATGCGGGGCCTAACGGCTAGCAGGCATTAACGAAACTCCTTTAAGCTGCGCATTCAAAAGCCGCATATCAGCTAAGAATTCCAGCTCAACCAAGGTAGACTGTTGCCGACAGCGCAACAAAACGGCGCAGGTTAAGTTTGTCACCGCATTCGCGACGTGCCCAGCAGAACTCCCCATCCAACCCCAAGATGGATAGCAAAGTGATATCAGCGCAAATGTTTTTGCAACGCGCCACAATACAGAGGCTGCGCTACGCCGGCGACAACGACCGCCATCCAAGCCGGGTGACCGTTGGACAAAAACAACACCAGCGCTTAAGACTTCGGAAACAAATCCGTATATCCTAGATGAGCTGGACGACAGGAAATGCAAGACGTGGTCGTGGTGGGGCCACGAAGACCACCGCACTTACACTTGCAGACAACTGTTGTTCATAACGCCCACTCACCGTGCAGAAACATCTCGATCCTGTCCAGCCGTAGCAATCACTGATTTCCTTTGACTTCCTGACGCAGGGCTGCGGCCGGACAAGCGGACTACAGGACTCTGATTCCGCCCCAGCCGCAAACTGACAGGCTGCTGGAGTGGCGCCATATCAACCGCTACACGTGCCGATGCTACAAAATTCACTGGCAGGCTACTTAAGCGGATGTATGCAAACCACACGCTGTGAGCTGCCCACGTGGAAAGCGGCACGTCCGAGTCGATTGGCTGTCCTTTTGTTCCACTGCTCCTCCTCAAGTTCCCGATTCAGTCACTTTTATAAGACAAGGCTTTGATGGAAGCTTTAGGAAGAAGGACAACCTAACTTGCACCGACCAGACACTGCGTCACTTAGCCAAAAAATGGTTGGCAAGTCGACCGAGGTGGTCCTATTGTCCGACTAGTACGGGAAAGTGTACCAATGTTGGAGACGTCGAGACTCAAGAAGATACTTGGGGGGACAGACCTTTGTACGTCATGTCCAGAGATCTCAGTTGCAAGTCATTCACAGCCACACTCGTGGACTAAATCCCAAACAAGAATTTTTTTAAACAAGGATGTGCTGGGTTACATGAGGATATGCAAGTAAGTTTAGGATCTTGGTTTTTTACATGACGCGGGCCACCCTGCCCAACCGTGCGCACGAAGTTTTGTATTTAAAACGATGCACATTTGTGAAAGTGCGTACAATTAAATGTGTAAATGCGACGTCTATGGTGACCACGATACGCGCTTCGCTGACGAATAAACCTGCACACCAACATGTCGTTCATCCTGCCACAAACTGTGAACACATAAGTTTTCGGGCTCCAACACGGGACAAGCACGTATATTAGCATCGTCGGCGGATAAAATTGCTAAACAAAATCGTCAGAGTCGTCTACCGAGTCATCCAAAGCGCAGCCGTCAGGTTGCCCAAGGACCCCAGCATCTTTCTTCTGTAAACGACAGCGCTTGCTAGCAGCTTCCCGCGCGCGGTTAGATGTCAAGCGCTTGCGCGGCCGCGCCGATACACAAGCGGCCGCGCCGTTGCCTCGTCCTGCAGCGGCGCTAATACTGCACCCCGCGATGCTTCCCGTCGCCTCCGAGGGCTTCGACGCGGCACAGCTCAAGTTCCTCGTCGATCCTTCTAAAAGCGCCGTAGTGTTGGCATCCGGACCTGCAAGGCGTCCCAAATCCGAATGCTGGTGTTGGTGTGGGTATTGTTGCTGCTGGTGCTGTTGTCCACATGTTTGGTGGTTCTTGGGTTGCATCTGCGCGCCGCCGCACCACCAAGCCGGCGCTCCCGGCGCTGCTGGGATCCCCGTTTGACTGCCGCCCTCTCCACCGTGCCGGGCTTCTAGATTGTACTGTGTCTGCTGCTGGTGTAGATGCTGCTGCTGCTGCCATTGCTGTTGTGGCTGCTGCGTCGGCAGCTGCTGCTGCTGGTGTGGCGGCTGTGGTGTTGAAGCCTGGTAGGGTCTGTGCACGTTGCCTTGTTCCATGTTGCCGCTTGGCTGGTGCTGCTGATGATTCTGCATCCAGAAATGCCCCGAGGAAGGCGCTTGCTGCGAACCTGCAGTCTGAGGGATTGTGGAAGCCGACGCAGATAGCTGCACAAAAGGGGCATGAGCAGCAACAGCAACAGCAACAGCAGCGCAAGCAGCTGCAGGTTTGTAACTATCAGGCTGCTGCGGTGGAGTACAGCGCGAGCTGTGCAAAAAGTCATGCTGACATCCGTTCTGTTGCTGATGATGATGCGTTTGCTGCCCCTGGAAGGTCAGGGGGTTCCGTGGCCTCTGCGGACCCTGCGATTGCCACTGCCCTTGCTGCCGACAGTGCCATTGGCTCGCGTGTGGCTCAAGCGGGTGACCGGGGGGGTTCCTCAGCCCATGTGGCAGCTCCTGGCCACGCCACGTCTCGTGTTGCTGCTGGGATTGTTGCTGGTATTGCCGCCATTCACTTCCAGGGTGTTGCTGTTGCCCTGTGTACCCCTGCTGTCCATTTTTGCCTTGCTGCCCGTGTTCCTGTTGCCGCTGCTCTTCCTGCCATTGGTGCTGAGCTCCATCCTGCCACTGCTTTTGTTGTTGCTGCTGCTGCTGCTGCCACTGCTGCTGCTGATGATGATGCGGTTGGTAGTCCGAATGGTAGTGCGGCTGAATCTGTGGATGCCGCACCGGTTGTGCCGCTGCTTCCAGGGCTTGCCTTTGTGCGTCCATGCCGCAGAATCCCGGTGTGCTGTAGTTGTAGCTCGGCAGCGCTGGCACCTGCCCGAGCAGGGGTGTCAGAGAAGCGGGCCGCAGCATCTCAACAGGCGTATGTGGCTGCTGTTGCAGAGGCCGTGTGGAAGGCTGTGATGATAGCACGGCAGCCGATGATCCACCGACCGGCGCACAGCACAACACATCTCCCTGCCAAGGCTGAGGAAGCTGATTTGGTCGTGGTGGGGACATGAGCAGCTGTGCTTGCTGTTGCTGCGGCTGAGGATGCTGCTGGCAGTGGTGCCGTAGCTGTCCGCCGTGTGGTGCTGGCTCTGGCTGCTGCCGGCCTTTCTGGTCATATGGGCTGCATCCCTTATGGGGTGGGTGCTCGGGTGGCGCGGGCAGTGCCGTGTTTTGGACCTCCACTGGCAAGTTTGTCCCCGTAACCGACCTGTTGTTGAGCCCTGGCCGTGACCCCGGCACCTGATACTGCTGCGTTGCATGCTGGGTGGAATGCAGTAGCGGTAGCGGTAGCGGTGGCTGTGGCTGTGGCGGCTCGCAGCTGTTCTGTGGTTGCAGCATCACTCTGACCGGCATGCCACCACCACAAGTACTGCCACCACCACAAGTACTGCCACCACCACAAGTACTGCCACCACCACCAGCACCACCACCACCACCACCACCAGCACCACCGCTGCATTTGCTTGGTGCCCCTGCCGCCGCTAGAGGCTTGCTGCCACCGGTCCCTTGTGCCGCGGCAAAGTAAGCAGTGATTGGTCTTCCAGAAGCACCACTTCCTCCCACCGCGGAGGTGGAGGCGGCAGCGACAGAGGTCAATTTTTGTTGTCCTTCTGCTGGCAATGACGCTGGCAATGTGTTGCCCAGGCGAAACCGGTCGAAACGGCCGCCACCGCCGCCACCGTTGGCCTGTCCTTGTCCGGGCGGCCAATCTGGAGGGGGAACCACATCCTCCTCGTACTGTATCTCCACGCTGCCTTTGCCCCTTTGACCCTGCTGCTGCTTTCCAGCTGGAGCTGGTGGTGCTGCGACTGGGGCTTGTGTCCGTGCATGTGCTGGCAGCGCATGTGCTGGCTGGCATGTGGTGCCGCTGCTGCCTAGGGCCGCTGTTGCAGGGGGTGGGGGTGGGGGAGGCCGCGGGGGCTCTGCGGTGAGGCGCTTGCAGAAGGCGTCCAACTCGGTGATGCTGGTGTTGAAGTCCTCATGGACCTGGAGAGGGATGGAGAGGGAAGGGAAGGGATGGAGACAGGAGGGGTAAGAGAATGGAATTGTATGTAAAAAACATTCCAGTACAACTGAACATGGGCAGCTCTTCTACCCCCCTCTTCCCCCCGCGTGTGAATGATAAGTAATGAAGGGAGGGTGTACATCGGTATGTATATTCGGCCCCCTTTCTCACCTTGACCGCCGTGCGCACCCATCGGGACAGCTGCTGCTGCCGGCCACTGCCCCGAAACCGCTCGTCCAACAAAATGATGGCGCCCCAGTCGTACTTGTGGCGAATGCAGCGGCCCACAGCCTGACGGCAGCAGGAACAGCAGCATCCGTGTGTCAGTTGGTAAACTAAACAAAAAAAAGCTTGCAAACACGCACATGCAAGCACATGGGTGCACATTCGTCCCTGCCTGGGGCACCCACACCACACCCGCTACAGCCATACATACAGATACACATACGTACAGATACACAGACATATTGATATTCATACAGCCACGTGCACACACGTGCCCGCATACCTGGTTCAGCGCCCGGAAGGCCTGCTGGTTGTACCAGGCATCCCCGGTCAGCAGCCGCTGTGTGGGGGGCCGACCGCTGTTGGGACCGGCGCCCGAGTCGTTGTACTCCTTTTTCAGCTTCACCTAGGGCAATAGCAGCGACAGCGACAGCAGTAGCAGTAGTCAGGACAGAAGCAGCAGCAGCAGCAGCAGGCCCAGTGCGGCGGCTGTGGCACACACAGCAGCACGGTAGCAGCAACAGCGAAGCATGAGTAGCAGTAGTAACAATAGCAGTAGCAGAAGGAACGGAAAGGGTGGCTTGGCTAGCTGGCTGTTCTTGTCGCCAGCGTCAGGTCCTCCGGCCAACGCATGATGGAACACAGACATACATATGTAACATATCTCAGTCTGTGTTGCATGATGCGTTGGGCCGGAGGACCTGACGCTGGCGATCCGCCGTGCTGCGGCGGGCCCCAGCACGGCGGATCAGCAGGCCCTCTCCAAGCGGCGGCGCGGCATGAATGGCCAGACCCTCCTCCCGGTGATTCCCGCGACTCTCGCGGGGCAAGTCGTGGAGGACCTTGGCATGTTCTTCTACAGGAACAACGTGCCTATTCACCTGATCGAGAAGCCCGAGTTGCGGAACCTATTCGGGCTGCTGGGCGTCACCCTGCCGAACCCCTAACACGCAGATTGATGACTGAGCGATGATAGATTGAGCTGCTGCAGTTTGCCAAATTGGAGGGTTACGTACTGGGCCGTACGGGAGGTTGTAGTGCAGGAACTTCACTCGTATGACGTCCGTGTGTTGTCTTGTGAACACTGGGTCTTCTATCTGTGATTATGTCTTTATGTGCCATAACACGCCTTGAGACATGGGGTTTGGGGTCCACCCACCGGGCACTGAACTAACAAAAAGTGATCTGGATGACCGCAGCGATCTGCTTTCTAATGTCTAAGTAGATATTAAGAAAGAACAAAAGAAGACCTTTCCAACGGTGTAATTTTCAGGTACAACGGTTGGCCGTACACCCCCCTTCTACTGGGAGCGTGCACCTGCCTAGTAATAGTATCATAGTACTACATTACTATATATAGTATTATTTCTTACTATACTATGCTATTTGGGTTTTCAAATATAGTATTCTTGCCAACATATGATATGTACAGACTCACCTTGGTATCCTTGATGGCCGGGAAGGGGATCCCCAACAGAATGACCCCCCGGGCAAAACCATCCGCGAAGTCAATACCCTCAGACGCCTGCACGTCGTCGTCATCATCATCATCATCATCATCATGCATGTGTGTATGTCCGTTCATAAAAGTTGGACATCCAAGCCACCACCGGCGGCGGAGAGAGCGGCAGCGGCAGCAGCAGCGGCAGCGGCGGCCAGGCAGCGGCGATAGGACATATACATATCAGGGGCGCGGGGTGTAGGTAAGGAGTGGAGAGGCGATTCGCGGTTAGCAGGGGGAGCGGCAGGGGAGCGGCGAAGACAGGCAGTAGTTGTGCATCGGCGGGGGTTCACAAAAGCCGACGGCCCTAAGTCGCGAGTAGGGTCCATCCCCACCTTATCTAATCGAGTCAGTTGCCGCGGCTCCCCCTCTCCCCACACCCTCCTCCCCACACCCCTGGCCCCCCTTCCCATGCCGGCCCAGACACCTTCCCGCGGCACACCGCCATGAAGAGGCCGCCCCGTCCCTCCCTCACGGCCCCGTAGTAGCTGCTCATGGCCTCCTCGAAGCCCCGACCCGCCTCCCGGGGCTCCACCACCACCGTCTTGACGGCTTCTAACCGGGACCATAACCCCGTGGACTGGCGGTCAGGAGGGATGTGTGTGTGTGTGTGTGTGTTGGGAGGGAAGGGGGAGGGAGGGGAAGGGAGGGGAAGGGAGGGAGGAAGAGGGGAGACGGGGGAGAAGTCATATGATGCAAGGAGCAAGGGACATCAGAAGCTGCCGCTGGAAAGGGGGAGGAGGTGAGGAGGCAGCGGGACAGTAAATAGATATGCAAGGAGCGAGGGACAGCTTCCTCCCGTTAAACTCACCGACTGTTGAGGGACATGGTAAACATGTGGGTGCAGCAGCAAAGTCAAGAAGGGGGAAACAACTGTCGAGGGTCAAAGTTTCAAACCGCTGGAGGATTGGGTAGGGGGCCAGGAGGCGACGCTGGGGTAGAGGGGCAGGACGAGGAGGAAGAAGGGACAGGAGGAGCAGGGAGGGCACAAAACAAGACCTGTTCAGTTGCATTGAAATGCAACTTTATGTATATACAGATGTATAAATTTAAAAGGCAGCGGAGCAGGAAAACACACATACAGACGGCGCACACAGATAGGTATGCACACAGACATGCGCATACCCCCCAAACCCCCACAAACATAAAACACGCACAGGCATCTACAAAAACACACGCGCATACAGACAAACACACAGACCTACCACCCACCTGCCAGCGACTCATCAGCCTGTCCAACAGGCTATAGCTGGGCATGAACAACAGCACACCGCCGGGGATGACCTGCGTGCGTGTATATGTACGTATGTATGTATGTATGTGCGAGGAGGGGGCCTAAATTAACTGAGCAGCGAGGCGTGCGGGCTGGAAAAGCCACATGCACAACTTTACCCCGGGTACGTATTTACATACAGATGTACGTACGTTTGTATGTGCGAGTAGAGGGTGGGGCAGGAGAAGAACGGGGTACAGGTGGGCGAACGGGAGGACAGAAATCGCAACGGGGGGGGGAGGGGAGCTGGCTCCAAGGTCCGGTCCAACGCCTAGGGTGGCGACAGTTTGCCGTACGATACCAAGGCAAAAACGCATGCAAGGCAAAAGTGCACCGGCGCGAAGCGCCAGGGTGCCTGGGACCAGCAATTACCACCACAGTAGCGGTAGTAGCAGTAGCGGCAGTAGCAGTAGCGGCAGCAGCAGTAGCAGCAGTACAGGTCATTGCAACACGGCACTAACCTAACGGAGGGAAAGCGGAAGGGCCTCTCATAGGACTCACCAGGGCCAGCACACACCCCGTCCACCATTCCCAACACCATACATACACCCTCTTCACACCCTCGCAGGTCTACTACTCCTTCCTCTTGACCCCTTTCCTCCCACCAAATCCTATACACACCGCCTGCACCTCTCCCCCCCCTTTTCACCCACCACCTGCACCTCTCTCACCCACCACCTGCACCCACCTGGCAGTATCTCAGCACCGCCTCCCCGGCATCGTCTTGGAACGCGAGTGTGCCGCTCTCCCGGTACGTGGCGGAGAGGAGGGAGCCACCAGGGCCCCGAGGGACAACACCGGCCCACACCTGCGGAAGAGGACCAAGAACAGGAACAGCAGCAGCAGCAGTAATACATACAGCTAGAACAACAGCAGCCCGGGGGAATGGGGCCCGATGGTCCCCAGGAGGGCCGAGCTTGGGGGATCATGCGATGATGCAAAGCTTAAAAGAAAGTTAATTGCCCGAAGGCGCCAAAATCCAAATCCAAATCCACACAACTCCTGCCCAGGAGAATAAACGCGGGCTTGCCGGACGCACCAGACGAGATCATCAGATACACCGAAAACCATGGAGCTGGTAAAAGAAAAAGCCGAACTGGAAGATATATTTTCAACTCCAAAGTTAAGAGAGGGAGTCGCGAGCTGGAGTCCATCCTACGGAACCGGGAGAAGAAAACCTGAATTCCCCCTTTTCCCCCTTCTCTCCTCCCCTTCCCTCCCCCCCCGCTCCCCCCTTTCCCACCTGGCGGCTCATATCCACCACATGCGGGGCCTCCAACCGGAAATGGAACTCCGTACCCAGCTCCGAGGCGAAGGAGTCCAGGGGGGCCAGGGTGCCGCTGAGGGGGGGAAAAGGACAGGGAGCGACATGCGCGCAAAGTCAAGGGGGGAAGCAACGGCGGACATCCAAAGTTGCAAACACTGCTATGAAGGGCAACGAGGGGGCGGGGTGTAGGGAGGACAGAGGGGCGGGGATGGGGGATGGGGGGGGAATCTGCAGGTTAAACGGAACAAAGCAGGAGTCATTAAGAGAGAATTCACCGCAAATGAGGGAGATAAAAAGAAGGGGGTCAAGGAGAGGGGATGGAAGGGCGACTTAACCTTCAAGGGAGACGGTGGTGGTGGTGGCGATGGTGGTGGTGGCGATGGTGGTGGTGGCGATGGTGGTGGTGGCGATGGTGGTGGTGGCGACGACAGCGTGGATATGTACACGAACGCAACTCCGGGTTTTATGGTTTAACAGCTTATACGACGTGTTGATATCTGCATGTTCATATTAGCACCTCCGGCGGCGGCGGAGAAGCTTCCACACTTAACGCGCGAAAGGTCCGATAGCTAAGATGGGGGCCAGGCACCAAACCAACCAATCAACTGTCCAACCGTATAATTAGCTTACCAACCTCGTCAGTACGACGCTGTGGGCCTTATCCGCCAGGCTCCGAAACGCCACAGCGGGGTTCAGGCACCACAGCCCCAGCGACACGGCCGCACCAGGCCCCACCCCGCCCCTCCCCAGGCCCTCGCCATTGCCGTCACCCTCACCCCGAGGAAGACGTGACCTAGAATTTGAGGACAAGAAGGGGGAGAGAGGACGGGGAAGGGGGCAAGGGGGGCATGTTATGGCGAGGGAAACTTTACACGGGAGTTCAGTACGGCACCAACCAACCCTTAAGCCAGTCAACGTCACAAGGTGCCATGACTTACCCCAGGCAGTCCCGTCAGTTAGCTGGTTGGACATTAGTTAGTTGTTGTACAACAGGCAGCGCGGGTTCATGGAAAAAGGCAGGGCTGAAGGAAAAAAAACAAATCTCCCCCACTCCGAAATAAGCCAATGTTTATATCCAAAGTTCACAGCAGGACAACGTGGACCTGCACCACCACCCCCGGGCACCACCACCCCCGGGCGCGGCAACCAACCCAACAGACCTGGCTTTTCTCCGGTCCTTGGCGCCATGCGCGATCCATCGCTTCACCACCAATCGGTAGTCGCCGCTGTTGTCGCGAAGGGGAGCTGGAACCGGCGGCGGGGCCATCATCAAGCCGCCGCCGCCGCCGCTGCCATAGCGGACGGCGCCGCCGCCACTGCCGGTGGGAATGAAGCCTCCGCCTCCGCCTCCGCCGCCCCCGTTACCCATCGAGGAAATGAAACCACCAGCACTACTACTGACACCATCACCACCTGCACCGATACCGCCTCCGCCTCCGCCGCCGCCGCTGCCGCCGCTTCCACCCAGGGCAGCGGCGTGGACTAACGACTTGACAGCAGGTCCGACGGCGGCGGCGGCGACAGGAGGATGGGGGTACGGCAGCCGCCCTTGCTGCTGCTGCTGCTGCTGCACCGGATGATCATTAGGGTGATAATGATTAGGAGGCGGGGGAAGAGGAGGACGGGGAAGGTGAGGTATCAGCTGCGACTGCGGCGGCAGCTGCGGTGCGGTGCCGTACATGAGCCGTAGTACGGTCAGCAGGCGGCCCAAGGTCGCCAGCGCCGCGCCGCCGGCACCAGGGCGGGTGACGGAGGCGGGTACGGCTTCATCGGCAGCGTCGCCGTCTGCGTGGCGGCGCGGCGGCAGGGGGGGAATGAGTGGGGAGGGTCAGACACCAAGATGATGATCACTACATCCATCTGATGCATCTATCCACCTGATGCTCATGGAATGAACGGAGCTCGCCTCTTCGCCGGACATCGCCACCCGGCACTGCTGGGCCGCTATTCACCCCTCATGTAGTCTCGCTGCAGTTGGGCCCCCTCTCTTGCACTCCTCCATCCGCCCCTCCCTTTCTCCCCCCCTGCGCCGCCTCCCGCCCCATTCACCCCACTCACCCCACTCTATGCCCCGAACAGAAACCCAAACTTATACCCCGCCACACACACCCCTTCACATTTACTTACCAAGGGAGAATGTGGCCTTTTCCTCAAATGCCTTGGCTTGCTCGTACAGTCGGTTAAGCTCACCAACCGCCGAGGGGCCTAGTCCCGCCTCACTCAACATATTAAGGGCCTTATGGGGACAAAGGCAAACAAGGAGGGGAAGGAATGGGGGCGGAAAGAGGGAGGGAGGAATAGGCGGCGGAGGGAGGAGGACCGCGTGAAGTGCACCGGAATCATGTTCGCGCGCGCTTGTGTGTCTGTCTGTCTGTCTCTGTGTGTGTGTCGGTGTGTGTGTGTGTATGTCTCAGTGCAGGGCGGGGGACGAGGAACGGGGGAGGGGCTAAGAGATACCCCGACCAGACGTGCAAGCCTTTCCGCACCTCCTCGTCCCTCAAAGATGGGCCTCCTCCCCGCCCTCCATCCCCCCCTATCCCCCTCCAACCCCAACTCCCCCGCCATCCAATACTCCGATTTCCCCCTCCCCCGACCGCCATCTTTCCCCCGCCTCCTATCCCCTCCACACACATACATACACACCCTCCTCTTTCCTCCTCGCGGCTCAGGTTGAACAAAACACACACACATGCACGCGCTCAAATATTGTTAGGCACACTTGAAACACACACGCACACGCACACTCCGCCTCCCCTACCCGAGGTCCCTGAAACACCGCCTCGTGCTGCTCAAAGCCACACGCTGTCATGCCCGCCGAGCTCGCCTCGTACCGCCCCAGTACGGCACCCAACCGCCCAACCACCTCCGCCAGGGGGGAGTACAGCTCAGGTCGCGAAGTGAGCTGGGCTGCCAGACGAAACGACACCTCCACCTCTCGAAGTACGTCAAGATCCAAGTCCATGCTGCCACCCTCTCTGGAGTGGTAAAATCGTATGCAAAAAGCCAGTGGGAGGAAAGGGGGGAATGGTCCAGAAGGAAGTTGCACGAGGGGACGCAATAAACAAAACACACGCATGTCGTACACACATTCGTAGTGTGTTTTAGGCAACCATGACCCCGTACCTTATAATTTGTTATATGGCTAGGGGTCGGGGATAAAGCCCGAAGTGGTACTCACCATGTATGCACCCCCCTGAACACCCCTACACACACACACACCCCTACACGCACCCGTACTGAAGCATCATGAGCCGTGAATGGCCCCGCTCTAAACACGTACACATGTACACGCACACACGCACCTGCACACGTCCTCCATGTTATGTGCTTCATCGAAAATGAGCACGGCTCCGCCCACATCGATACCCAGCGCCGCACGGACCTGCGAACCAGCGCGGTGATGGGCCACCGCACAAACCCCCGACGAAAGGGGTGTGTGTGTGTGCCGGGAAGAGCGGGAAAAGACGAACCACGAGCGAGTGAAGGTGATGCGGGAAGAAGGGGACCGCGGGCCCGGGCGGGAAAACACATGATGGTGGTGGTGATGATGATGATGGTGATGACGATGGCAATGATTGGCGACGTCGAAAACGCGCCACAACGACGACAGCAACAACAGCAGGTAGATCAGCAACGGTGCCGACACGACGTTCAAAACACGTCACCTCGCATACAGTAACCCCCCCCCACCCCCACTATCGCCAACCTCTCCGCCTCTCCCCCCCCGCAACTCCTTCACCGTGGTGCCGCCTGTCGAGAACTCTTCTCCGGTCTCTCTCGCTTCCTTTTTCCACCTCACCTCACCAGCACCCCAACAGGACGCATCTTCCTCCCACACGCCCCCTCCAAGCCTCCATCAGATCCCACCCCACCCCGAAGCCCTATTCTCTTCTAAATTGCCCCTCTCACTGCCCCGCGTTTCCCATCCCACTCTTCCCTCCTGCCACCTCAGAGTCCGGGCTTCCCATATCCCGAAACCCCCTTTTCCAGACCCCCAGCACCAGACCCTTCCAGACCCACCTAGCATCCAAACACCCTGGACACCAAAAACCCAAAGTCCCTCCCGCCCCACTCCCCTACTTTCCCTCCCCCTGCCCCCCCGCCCTCCCTGCCGCGTAACCCTAAGACACGTACCAACGGATCCAGAAGGTACGTGTACGGACAAAACACCAGATCCGCTGTCAGGGCGAGGTCCCGGGCGACGAAGTACGCACAGGTGGGATTGCGGCCATTGGAGCATTTGGCAGCCAGCTCCTCGATGTCATGTAAACCAATCTGCTGGTTCCGGAGCCGGTTCGGGGGCCGACGCACCACCATGAAGCGGGGACGAGGAAATATTCCGTTGCTGTTGTTGTTGTTGTTGTTGCGCGAAAACCACCGTGTTAGGGGGTATGATGTGAATGGCCGCATGTACAACGCCGTGCAAGTCAAGAGTGCTGATAACGTAATTTGACGTGCTATGGACGACACGGTTTGTCGTACCTCACCGCACCGTACCAGCCCACACCTCAGATCATCATCATCCCTGATCCCTTATCCGCCCCGTCCATTCCCATATCGGCTCCTTCATCCTCCCCCTTCCAGCCCCTTCCTCGCGTCGGTCGCAATCCACAAGGCCCCACAGTCCCAGAACCCACCCACCTCCGGAGGGGTTCTACCGGCTCTACCCGCCGCCTTGCCTCGGTAACGACATCCGTACTCTGATTCCTTGAGCAACTTGTCACATTCCTCATCCACACGGCCCGTTCGGCGTACCTTCTTATTAATGCAGTAGTGCTGCTTTGCGGCCTGCACGTGACGGCGCGCACATGGCGGAGCAGCAAGGAAAGGAAAGCTGCCGTGTGTAGAGTTGCGGGAAAAAGGGGGGGGGTCGTGTGTAGCGTTGCGGGTCTGGGCCCAGCAATAAAAATGAAATGTATATGACGTACATCGTAACGTAACGTTTGGTCGTTGGCGGATCAGGAGGCGAGGGGACCCCGGCATGCTGAGGGTATATATGTGGGGCGACAACTCCACCGTATAATCCAACCTTTCCAGGATGCTCGCTTTTCTGTCTTCCTCCTCGTTCAACCATATCCGATTTTCTATAGCCATGCCACCACGCAGCTTGTTTTTGAACTTGGGTTTTGGATTTGGGTTTTCTTTAAATAACTTTGTTAAGGGAAGCCTGTGGGGTACGATAACACCCAGGAACGTCAGCACACAACTTTCCCAACAAGCCGGCCAGTCATATGCCACAACAATAGCTTTCGTCAAGTTGCCACCGCACAGATATATCCCCTTAAACTTGCAAGGAGAAAATACCGAATCACATAGGGGCCCCCTGGAGACCCAAATCGCCCCAAAAAATCGCACCAAGATGGCCATGGTGGGCTTGTAACCCGAACGCTTCAACTCCCGGACCACTTGCGCAATCTGGGAATGCGTGCGCGTCGCAAAAAAAATCTTGGGTGGCTTGAAGTCCTGCACGTCGTCCTCGTCAGTACCTCTGATATCGAACATGGAAGGATCGGAGTTTTCATCATCTTGGTCGCTGTTCTCGGCCGGGGAGGAGTTAGGGGAGGAATGCGAGGCGCCACCTTCCCAAGGATATGCTGCTGCTGCTGATGCAGCTGCTGACTTATGGCTGGGAGCTTCGGCAGTTTGGCCCTGTTTGGCTGGAAGCTGTCCTCGGAGGCCGTCCGCAGAAGGTGCTGGGGCTTGTGTGCGTGCTGCTTTACGGGGTTCAAAGTCGTCGGAGGATTCCTCAGAGTCGTCGCCTGCGCCTTTCGCACCGCCGTAGGCGCCTGTGCCTTTGGCTTGGCGGGGCTTGCCACCTTCGCGATCGGCAGTGCTACCAACAGCAGCAGTAGACTTGGGAGGTCCTCCAGCGTCCCCACGCGGAGCAGTGCGTAGCAGCTGTGTGGCTGAGCGGTCAAACAACTCCTTTTTGCGTTGTGTTTGCCAAGCCAGTGCGGCACACAGCAGGCTAAGCGTCTTGCCGCAACCTGTGGGCATCTCCAGTAGCGCGTTGCCCTGTTCAGCAAGCGCCCGCAGCATCTTGTCCATAAAACTGAACTGCACGCCATAAGGCTGCTGCGGGAATTCGACTTCATAGCCTTTGATGCTATACTTCATCCTTGCAGCCTCCCGGTATACCAAATCCGAATCCCTTCTATAGCTGATTAACCAACGTCGTGGGCCTAGCTTCTAGAAAGGCGCTAATTCGTGTCGGCTTTAGTGCGCATAGAGGCATTGGACCCTATTTGAGCAGCAAGCGACAGCTGCTTAAGAGCTGCCGCCAGCCATATTGCCCGATGTCCTAAAATCTACGACTGACAAGAGCTTGCATCAATCCAACTGTACACGGCATATATTCCGCTTCGAGAGTCATGATTTGCATGCACATATGCACGGCATGCTTGCAAGCACGGCACGCATATCAGGCAGAGAATAATAACTTGGAAGACTACGCCTTTTTTATTTATAGTTTGGCGTAATACTTGGTTCAAATTCCTTGGAGCAATCCCTCAGTAGACCAATTCTGCGATTAAAGTCATGCTGCCGCCCTGGAGTACGGTAATCCCGGGCCAGATCGTTCGCGATGAAATTAAGATAAGCATCTTCCAACGAGCGATGACTTTAAGAGGGTCCGAGGACGTCCTGCATGCTTGCAATGGGACTTTCCCCGTCGTCGATCCAGCTTTCAAATCCGCCTGCTGTGCTGTGCGATGTACACCACAGGATGCCAGCCATGCACGCATCAGCCCTTCTTGCCCAGAGCGCGCCGCTGATGACAACGCTTGGCATGCCAACAATAAGTCCCAGGAACAAAACGGCTCCCAAGATTTTTTTCAAAACTGCATCACCATTCAACGACCAGTCACCATTCAACGACCAGTCAACGACTCAAAACGCTCTCACCCCATTACCACCACCGCCATCCACCTTCTCACATCCTCCTGCTCCACACACACAAAACGCTCCGCAACATCCTCCAACCTTCGCACCAGAAACACCCACTACCCCCTCCCCTCCCCTCCCTCCCCAACCCCCCTGCCCGGCTCCCGCTACAACCCCCAACCCCCAATCAAAACAAAACCCTAGTCATCTAGGGCGCCACGCTCCCACTGCCACATCGCCTGCCTGACAGAAAAACAGCCCCCACGCTCATCCACCCCCCTCCACGGCCACCCTTGTCAGACCCATCATCACCCTGAGCGGGTGCTCCCTAGGTAATCTCAGCACACTGCTCGCGACAGCCATGGCCACCCGGGGCCGGGACCTCAACCAGGCCGCCTCCTGTTGAAGACGCCACAACGCACTGCGGCTGGTGAACCACCTAGTGGGTTGGTAACGAGGTGGGGGGAGGGGGGCGAGGGGGCCGGAGGGCTTGGGGGGAAATTCATGTACAAACCCAAAAAACGCTGTGCCCGTGTGCGTGTGCGTGTGTGTGTGTGTGTGTGTGTGTGTGAGTGTGTGTGTGTGCGTGTGTGTGTGTGAGTGTGTGTGTGTGCGTGTGTAAGGATACTCAAGTGCTGGCAGGGCGGAGGGGGGGGTCGAGGTGACCGGGGGCGAGGGGGAACTTTACATGCAGAGTCGAGGAAAACAACTGCCAGGACGGGGGTTTGGGGGGTTTGGCGGTGTGGGATGGGAGCGGAGAAGTGGTGAGGAGGTGAAACGAAAGACCGAATGCAGTGGGGCGTTGAAGGTAAAGAGGTTAAAGAGGGTCCGTTACCGGGTTCCTCCCCCTTTTTAACTCCCCCGCACATCCTTCAATACCCCTCAACGATTCCCCCCCACACACACACACACCACACACACACCACACACACACCACACACACACCACACACACACACACACCTCCACGTAAGAGCGAATGTAAAACCTCTTTGCATGCTGGCGATGCGCTCCTTACCTTTCCCCCCTTCTAAAACCCCCATCCACACCCAGCCGCGCCCCTTCCCTCCCTTTCTCCCTTTCCTTAGGCTTGAGACACCTACGGGCTACGACAGATGGTGCTTTGGACTCCCAATCGGAAGCCGCCTCTTCTTGAACTATGCATCATCGTCATCATTATCATCATCATCATCATCATGTGCTCCCTTCTTACCCCCCTCCCTTACCCCCCTCCCTTAACCCCCTCCCTTACCCCCCTCCCTTACCCCCCTCCCTTACCCCCTCCCTTCCTTTACCCCGGTCCCGCCCCAACTCACTCCCGCCTTAGGGACTCTAAATGTACGGGTATGTGCGGGGCCAGGTACAGCGACAACAGAGAAGCCGTCTCCGCGTCCATGACCCGCTTGGCCTCGGACAGATCCCCAGCTAGCAGAGCGGCATCACCACCACCACTACTGCCACCAGCACCACCAGCACCACCAGCACTGGCAGATTCACCACCGCTGCTGCTGCTGCCGCTGCTGCTACTGCTAACGACGCTACCGCCAGCGGTGGTGGTGATGGGGCCGTTGCCTTGGCTGGGCTGCGGCTCAGACTGCTGCTGCTGCTGCTGCTGTTGTTGTGGGTGTGCAGGTTGCGATGGGGAGGCGGTGGTTGTGGCGGCGGCGGCGGCGGCGGAGGGCGACTGGGCGGCTACTGCCATGCTGCTACCAGGACTGCTACTGTTGCTACTGGCAAAATGGAGTGCGTTGGCGAAGGTCCGAGCGGTTTGCCGTACGGAAGGGGTCTGTAGGTGGGTTGCGGTGATGTGAGCCGGTACGGCAGAGTATGAATGCGGGTTGGAGGAGAAGGGCTTGGAGGAGTAGGGGAGTGGCCAGCAAAACGTTGTGAGGGACAAACACCTAAAGACATCGGCATTTCGCAGGTGCAAAAATGTGCATGCAAGTACGGTAGTACGGCCGTCCGTACGAGCCCTGCGGGGGATACCCAAAAATTACCACCGGCCCACCGACCCATGGGACCGCCCTTGACTAAGTGAACACCCCACCCACCACCCCACTGACACACCGTTGATTCCTCCAGCACTCCCGCAACGGCATCTATGACCAAATGGGCCGCCGCCACCAGCGCCGCCGCGTCCTCTTCACTGTCTGGGGGGTCGTCCACAACGTACTCCGCCCTGCATGTACGGCAACGTACGGCACCCTTTTTGGTACGACATGGAACATGCGAAACCAGACGATGCACTGCGCACATGTCACACCTTCCGTCTCGTTAGCTGGACCTGGATTGGGATCTGGATAGATTCGATTTGTGTCTGGATCTAGATTTCTCTGCGTCGCCCCACGCTGCCTTTGTGTACCCAAGGTGTGAAAGCTTGTATGTGGGGGCTTTATACGGCATGAATGCCGTACATTACACGGTAGGATCTGTACGTGTACGGCATGAATGCCGTACATTACACGTACAGATCCTGCAAGACTACGCGATGCCATTTCTTAATAAGCACTACGCGAACCTCGTAATGCCGTGGAAATAATCATGTACGACACCCGGATGCCCAACGAAGGAAGGCCTAACGTGAAGCATGATTTATGCCGTACACACCGTACGAGACGCAAAATACAGCCAGCCAGACAGAACCCTATCAGCCAGACAATGGTGGAATGTGGTGGCAGGACTACCTACCGTGTGGCTGCGTTGAGGCCGTACGACGCCGGCAGTACGGCAATATCTTCCGGGTCGTAACTGAAGCGCACACCACCCTCCAGGAGTACCAGCACGTCACCGGTGCCGTGTTCCGGAGCGTGATAACTGTAGGGACAAGCAAGCCGACAGACAGACAGACAGACAGAAGACAGACAGATCATTCTCCGTTCGAGTATTCGCGTGAAATAGTGCGGCCTTGCCTGGAGCCGGCGGTTTGCTTTTACTTGTTACCCACTTGCTTAACCCACCCACCCGTCCACCTAACCCCCTAGTGAACACCTAACCCTAAACCCCCTCCCCGCGCCAGTACGGCCGGTCGGCCGCTGCTTTGTACTCCTTCAGCCGTTGGCGCCTGTCTAGGATGTGCATCGGCACAATTGCTTCTTTTTATTACTTTTGCATCACCATCATCATAAGTATTCCCATCATTATTATCATCATTGTTATTGCCAATCATCATCATCATCATCATCATCATGCATTATAATATTATTATCATCATTATTATTCTCAATCACCATCATACAATTTCCCCAAACCCTCTTTGCCCCCGCTGCTCCTCCCCCCCCCCCCACCTCCCCTGCCCTACGTGGCGCACCAACCCCAACCACACCGACCTGCGCACCACCGCCGTTGTCCCCACACCCCGCCAGCACAGCCCGAATGCGGCGCCGTCTTCCACACACGCCCGCACCAGCAGCCGGTAGCGCTTCTCGAAGACCCGAAGCTGCACGAGGACCAGCACATGAGGGGTGCGTGCGTGGGTGGGTGCGTGGGTGGGTGGAGATCTCTATCATGCACAAGATAGAAGCAAAGAAGCAACGGCGGGGGGGGTCGGAGGACCCCAAGCAGGAGGAAAGCAGCAGCAGCAGTAGTAGCAGCAGGAAGGCGAGGAGGAGGGAGAGAGGCATGTGTAGAGCGGAAAAAATCAGTCGATCAGTCGGCGAAGGGGAGGGGGAGAATGAGGGGCCTCATGTATTCCTGTTGCAAGAAGAAAGACGCAACGGGACCCACCAACTCTGTCGACTGGACACGTCCACGTCGGCAACGGGATGTGGGGATGTGGAGGGTACGGGTAATTGCGGGAGGGACTATAATATGGAACGTCGCAAGACACGTGTTTCGCATTCCCCCTTCTCACATGGAAGGATCCCCCCAACACGCATAGAGTCCCCCCCACCATACCCCCCCCACCATACCCCCCCACCGCACATACACACACACAACCCTCCCTGGTCCCCTACCTGAATTGTCTGTCCGGGAAACAGGATGACTCCCTCCAGGGGGAAGAGAGGCAGCCCACGGAGACCCACCACACCCCCGGAGGGGGAAGCGGGCGAGGAAAGAGGGGAGGAGGACGGGGAGGACGGGGAGGA